CTTGTGAGAAACTTTTGTTTTGCTTTTGGCGCCCCCTGTGGCCACAACGGTAACTTTGATCTCTTTGCTGATTTGTCCTGTACCAGTTTATATCTGGCTTTTAACAAGCAATTCCTGCTGCTGTCTTTAAGCAGTCAAATGTTTCATTTATCATCAATCTTTATTCTGGAAAAATATAACTCACTTTTTCAGACACCTACCCCTGAAAGTGGATTGAGGCAATAAATAACAGAATCAAAATTGTACATTTTTGCTGTTTTAGGTCATAAAGACGTCTTTAATATTAATTTAAGTCTGTTCCATAACCAGTTAAAATCTCATCACAGGAGCTTTAGACTTGTGGGCTCTAACATTCATTAGTGGTATTTTTGACGTCATGATAAATAAAGTACCTTCCAATGCTCTTATAAAACTACATGTCCTTAAGTTTGAACTCTATGGCTTAGCCTTGGAGTGAAGAAAGTGTAAGATTGTCAAGGAGAAGGAGAATCTGAATGAGACAGAAAAAAAAATATGAATATCAAATATGAAAAGGGTAGGAATCCAATCGAAAGAACTCTCAGTCCCAATGTCCATATTTCCACTGGTCCACGCACTTTCAAGAAGCTCTTGATAAGCTTGAAGTTGTTAAGCCTCTGCGCATTTTACTCTGCTGATATGGATGGTCTTATACTAAATATGTGGTGAAGAATAAATGCTGATGTAAGGGAAAGCCCAGTGCATAGTCATGCAATCAGCCAGTGTGGAAATGTGTCTGTTAAATTACATTTCTAAGTCACTGGGCATAGCAGTCCAAAATAAATGAAAGCTCAGATACAGCAGCTTTTTAGGGGCTTTGGCTGCTTTTCTGTTAAAGTCACACACTCAAGTATGCATTTTCTCCCAGGAGAGCTCAAAGTTTTCTGGAAAGTCCTGGAAGAAATCAGTAAAGACAACCACACTGATATTAGAAAAGTATGAAGAATGCCTGGTGACTGCCACTTACCATTAAGCAAGGCTTAGATCCGATCTGAAAGGTTGGTTAAAGACTTTATATGCTATTTTTTTGATCCAGCAGATGTCGCCCTTGAGCACCAGCATGAAACCAAAACAAATCGCGCTGCATTGTTGTGTTAGCATGCTAATGCTAGCGATCTTTATTATGCTGGTATCTTCACACTGCATGTAAATTTACCTGAAATGAGCGTGATCTAGAAACACAGTTAAGCAGTGAGTACAGTATGTTATTCTTCTTTTCTCTAGTCCCTCAATTAAACAACTTTTATACACGAGGGGAGGAGTCAGCTGGCCGTCCCAACGATGTAAACAAACTGAAGATAGGACTCTGAAAACATCACAGTCAGTGGGACTCGGGTGTTACACCCATTGTAGACAGTCATGACTCACAGAGTTATTTTCAGAGGAGATACTTGATTTCTACATTTAAGTGTGAAAAATCGCATATAAAGCTTGAGCAGTGCATTGAGCAGATGGTTAGATATTACGACAGTGGCTTGAATTTTAAGACTAGGGCTAGGAAAGCAGGTCCAAAGATCTTCAAAATATCCAATCATGAACTGATGAATGAGCAGCTTTACCTAATCAATTAATCAACCAGATCACCATCAGTTATCCAGTTTACAGTCAGAAATGACTCAATTGATTGATGAATGGCTGATCATTTAATTGGTTGAAGCCAGCTGTTATTTTAATTTGTCAGTTTCAAGGCGTAAGGAAAAGTTCAAACCGTAATAATTGGGCAATTTTTAAATAATTTATACAACCAAACATCCCATGATTTTTTGTTATTTTAGAATACAAATTTACTTGCTCAATGAAGGGTTAGCTCAGTTGGTAAAGCCGGTGATCTCTCAACCAGAAGGTCGGGGGTTTGATCCCCAGCTGCTGCAGCCACATGTTGATGTGTCCTTGGGCAAGACACCTAACCTCAAGCTGCTCCCTCTGCTTCGTCGGCGGCGTATGAATGGTTGGCTTTTGGCATTAGGAAATTGACTTGACTCTTGAGGCTAGAAGTAGGAAAGCAGGCCAAAAAGATCTTCAGTCTGAACTGATGGATGGGCAGATTGACTTAATCAATTGATTAAGCAGACACACACCAGTCACTGAGTCTACAGTGAGCTCTGACTTGATTGATTGATGATTGGCTGATTATTTGGTTGGCTTCAAGAGTAGTTAATGAGGTTGGGTCTCAAGGTTGATCGTAGAACTACAGGCCTTAATATCAACAAGTCTATTAAATATTGACTCAAACCCAACAATCATGTAGTCATTGTACAGCCAGAAGTGGCTTAATTTACAGTGTTTTTGGGAGGTGGTGGTTGCCTTAACTACATGGGACAGCTGAACAAGGACGAGAAATGTTGGAAAGAGAGAGAGTTGGGATGACATGCACCGAATGCTCACAGGCCAGGAGTCAGCGCACATAGAGAAATATGCTTCTGTATATGGCGTGCCTGCTCTACCATCTGAGACAACCATCGCTCCAGAGGAACTGACTTGATTGATGAAGGGTTGATCAGATAATCAGTTCAGGCAGGGATAATTGGCTGAACTGTCATGGCTGGAGGTATGCGAAGACATGCTCAGAGATCTCCAAAATATCACTGCATGAACTGATGAATGAGCAGCTTGGCCAATTCGATTGATCAACCAGACAGACATCAGTTGTTCAATCTACAGTCTGCTTTGATTAATTGGTGAATGGCAGATTATTGGGTTTTGTTCCTCGGAGGGCTAGGTTCTTAAGGTTAAAGTTGGAACTAAAGATCTTAAAAATGTCACTGAATCAACCGACCTATCCTTTATTCATTTGACAGTAAGAACTGACCAGATTGACATGATGGCTGATCAGATGGTCGGTTTTGGCAGGAATTCAGCTTTGACAGAGCACTTGAATGGAATGGTGAATGGACAGCAATTCAGTCACTTAGTCGACAACCAGTTAGTCAGTTCTCTTTCGCAGTTGATTGGTTGATGCTGATCAGATGATTGGTTTATGGCGAGGGTAATGGGCTTCGTCTTTGACTGCAGGTAGATCTTCAACAGATAATCAACAGACTTGAAAACCCTAATATATGAGCAGCTTTAAAATCATCCATGGAGGGGGTAAAGTATATAATAATTTTGATTAGTTAACAATTTAAAAAAAATTACTGATTGATTGATGATCGATCAGATTGCTGGTATCAAGCAGGAATAATTAGCTCTTGTCTCAAGGTTTTAGGGATTAGCTGAAATTGATATCTGACGTTCTTCAACTAAAATCTGACTTAAAGACTTCATATGCGATTTTTTGATCCAGCAGATGTCGCCCTTGAGCACCAGCATGAAACCAAAACAACTTGCGGTGCATTGTTGTGTTAGCATGCTAATACTAGTGATCTTTATTATGCTGGTATCTTCACACTGCATGTAAATTTACCTGAAATGAGCGTGATCTAGAAACACAGTTAAGCAGTGAGTACAGTATGTTATTCTTCTTTTCTCTAGTCCCTCAATTAAACAACTTTTATACTTGAGGGGAGGAGTCAGCCGGCCGTCCTGGCGATGTAAACAAACTGAAGATAGGACTCTGAAAACTCTGAAAACATCACAGACAGTGGGACTCGGGTGTTACACCCATTGTAGACAGTCATGACTCACAGAGTTATTTTCAGAGGATATACTTGATTTCTACATTTAAGTGTGAAAAATCGCATATAAAGACTTTAACTGGTGAATATGTTTTTGCTGGCCATCTTTGGAAAAATACCACACAGAGGCTTAGTGGGCCTGTAACTCTGACTTGTAAGTATAAAAAAATTAACGATGACGGTGACAGTAAACAGAAAATATTCACCCTCTTTGTCTGCCTCCCGCCAAGCAACCAAACAGGTAAAAAAAAGTAGAAACCACGTCCCTCTGCCAATGACCACAAATGATATCAAACCCCTTAAAGAAGTGAAACATAACAAATCATCAATAGAGGTAAAATGCACATTATGGCTCCCACACAATCGTTCAAACAATCCAGACATGGTTTCTAGTGAGCCTGTTTTTAATGGCTAAGCTACAGTGGCTTAATGGTTGTCTTCCATTGTGAATGAGAAAGGGTGCAGCGTCACACGAGTTTTGAAGGCATAAATGCTCTCTTGTGCCCATTTTTCTTGTCTTGGTTTAACTGCATGCAGCTTTGTACAAGTTATGAAGCAAAAACAATTACTAATGGTGTCACTTAGCTGGAGGTCATCTGACACAACTGATTCAGCTGCAGCAGCTTTCCGAGGAAGCTGACAGTTTCAGAATGTGTTCCCCTTATGGGACCACGCACTAAAATTGGGTTTTTAATTGAGCCTTTGACACACCCCATTAAATCACAAATCACCCAAACTGACAAAACGTTTGAATTCATTTGCCTGAAGGTTTATGATGCTCTTGTTGACGTTGTGCTCATCAGCGAGGAGGCCCCGATGTGGTGTTTGAAATTTAAAACATACACACAGGTCATGTGTCAGCTCAGATGTTTATCGTGTCTCTGAAGAACATGGCAAATTAATTTTGATGAGGCTATTAACTCTCCATCTACAGCGGAGATTACATCAATCAGCCAATCAGTGTTTGGCTGATTTTCAGGACACACAACTGTCTGGAAGTGAGTGATTCAGCCGCTGAAGACTTTTTAGAGTATCGACTTACTTTCACTAAATTTAAAAAGAGGGATTAAAAGAAAATGTATTACTGGAAACGATCCCACTCTATAAACCTGTTGAACAGTGCAGGAACATTTCCAGGTGACGATTTTTTTGTCTACATGGATTAATAGCATTTTTTTTAAATTGAAGCATTGGTTATGTCTCAAATAATATGGATGCCAGAAATAAGAAACGTCAGTTGCCAATGTTGCTTGGCACAAAAGGCGGACCCCAGCTGGAATCCATTCTATCCTCAAATTACTGTATCTGGAAAAACTTCATGACAAAAAGCTGCTAATATTTCTAATTCTGTCATTTTAACCACTGCAGGTCAACAAGACAGAAGACAAGTCGCTGGAGGAGCGAGGACGCATCATGATTTCTCTCAAGTACAACACCCTGAAGTCCTGCCTGGTCGTTGGCATCATACGCTGTGCTCACCTCGCCGCCATGGACGCCAACGGCTTCTCTGACCCCTACGTCAAAACGTCAGTATGCGCACATACCTGCAAAACAAACACATAAAGAGGAATTTTAGTAAAGCTAAAAAAAGATCAAAAATCAGTGTGCATGGATTATGAATCTGTGGGAAAGGATTTGAAATAGTGAGTTCAGATTTATTTACTCATGGCTGTTCTTTCTCAGCTGACTCCAGGGGGGCTCGGCACTAACATGTATGATGACGGGTGATTACTTCTGTTCCTCTTGACAAATAATTCTCCTGAATAAAGCCCGTGCTATTTTTAGACGATGTAAAACACACTGTACAAGTGCTGTAATGGATTAGCTGGCTGTGCTGCTGTTTTAGCTGAAAGGAGGCAGACTACCTGTGATTATCAGACACACGGTACAAGAGGCCAGCCGCAGGGCTGCAATTTGAAGGAGAGTCCTATTCATCACACCTGAACATTTCCCAAGTCTTTCATCTGGCTGAGCAATGAAAGTGCAATTAATTTCCTACTTCGCCGTGCACACCTTGAAAACAAAAGCCCCGACTCGATTCGGGAGGAGGAGGGCTGGCAACAATTCTTTTCCAACAGTTTGAGGTTGAGAAAATCTTCCTGAAGCTTGAAGGACACTCAGATAATAGATTTACTGACAAGCTGATGCGAGAGGCGATAAAGGAAATGTATACTCTGTCATAATGACGAGACAAGCTTGTTTCTCCTCCTGTCCATCGAATTGCTTTTTGATTCATCAAACCACAGCGGTCACCTGAACTGCAGATTTATCCTTTGTGTCAATTGTTGGACAAAAAAAGACCCCAAAACCTGAATCCAGGTTTTGGGGTCCTGCCTCCTTTCAGCTAAAAAAAAAAATCAATTATCAGACACACGGTACAAGAGGCCAGCCGCAGGGCAGCTAAAAAAAAAGCCCGGATTCAAAAAAAAGACCCCAAAACCTTGTTTTCAAGGTGTGCACGGCGAAGTAGGAAATTAATTGCACTTTCATTGCTCAGCCAGATGAAAGACTTGAATCCATAGCAACCTTCTAATTTTGTAATTCAGGGGTTGTATGTTCATTTAAAAAAAAAAAAAAAGTATTGAATATCATTTTAATCCAAAACCATTATATTGCTTAAATGAATGAGAACTATCCCGTCAATCAGCTAATTAGTGTATACAGTGGATCCCAAACTTTCTCTGCAGGACCCCGCTTTGGGATATGAAAATATGTTCTGCTAACACACAACGGGCCAGATTTACTAAGCTCCCAATTAAAGAGTACTAAATTGCGCGTTCACTCCAAAAGTTTGCACGTTTGGTTGGTGGGCGTTTTGCGGGTGATCTACTAAGAAAATGTGCGTGAATGACAACAGGTGCAAACCTCATGGAGGCGGTACTATTTAAGTTAGGCTTTTGCGTGTTCTACTGGTTTACATCACGGATAGTTTTGACAGAAAGCAGGATGACTGCAAGCACAAAATAGGTCTTAGTGGAAGAGGCAAATGAACGCACAATACTTTCGAGTTATAGGATATAAGAATATAAATCTGAGCTGTCTCCTCTGTGGGCGATCTACACTCGGGCCACTTGTTGCGCACCAGACAGCTGGCCAGCGCTGTGTCTGATCGGACATAAATGCCCTGGAAAAAGGTATTGAAGACGGGGGTACAAACAGTGGTGAGGTACCCCAATCCAAGCATCCTACAGAGTAACAGCAGGGGGCTTTAGAGGGAAGGAGACGAGCTCATTATGGAGAGGAGCACACCAGAGGGGGCGAACTGGGGGAGAGACGCGCAACCCGAGAAAAAGGAGAAAAATGTTGGTGAGAAGAGGGAAATAGGAAGAAATAAATATCAATGTTGAAAATCTATAGAATGCAGAGGCTGTGAATGTAACAACCCTGAATCAAATTAAAAAATAAATGCATGTCATTTATTTTTCTGTCATTTGAAACATGTAAACACTTTATGCCTTCTTTTGTTGTGCAGATGTCTCCTCCTAACTTCAATAACAGCAGGCTGTTGTGCGTAACACTGGTCTCCTGGGTTAGCACGTTCCTTTCAAAGGTGTTAAATACAGACACTGTCACAATCACCGCAATTTTGGCCAGGTTTGGTAAATCGCAATGCTGTACTAACTTAACTTGTTTGTATTTTCTCCTCCCAGTGTTTTGCATGTTAGGGCAGAAACGCCCCATATTGCAGATTCATTAAGGCAAACGTACTAAATGGTCAATGCGTGTTGTTTTGCTCATTTGAAAGACGCAATCCTCACTGCGCGCTGTTAGTAGATCAGATAGCACTTTTTTTGCTGGTGGTATCAAGTTTGCACACATTTTAAGACACACAAACCTTTAGTAAATCTGGCCCAAACTGTTTTCTCTTCATTACCCACCACAGATGTGGCTGAGGACGAGATATAACTCGTCATATTTTCTACTCTTTACCTACCAGCCCTTACGTAGAAAGTTTTCCACGCTTTGCTTGCTGTATAATACTGTGTGCATTGTTTTTTTGTTTTTTAGCCTCGATATATGCACATACTTTTTACAGTTTGTAAACATCAGACTAACAACGTTAGAAATATTACTGAACCTCGTCAGTCGACATGGTTGTTTAGCTTCTCGCAATACCTGCTTGTAAACAAATGCTTGTTGTCTAAGAGGGGTAAGAATAACAGCCCTATGTGTGTCTAACGATTGTGCAGTTGCATGCAGAAGCCTTCAGGTGGCGCCAAAGTGCACCATACAAAATTCCTACACATTGTTGCTTTGATTTCAAACCTTTGTTTTAGCCTTGAAAATGACTGACGTTTCTCTCGTTTACAATGACATCGAGAAGAGTGTTTGGTTTAATTGCACAGCTGCTGAACTCATATATGTTTCGCAGTTGTGCGAAATTGCAGCAATTTACACATTGATTCCATTGTGATGCATTGTCTGCATCCTAACTTCCGCTCTGACCGTGTTTTGCCTGGGGGGGGGGATCACTTGTCCCATTACCTGACAACAATTAAGTTAGCTGCAAAATCCTCATCAACAACAATTTGAGCCCTCGTTCCCTCTGGGGATACATTTGTGAGCAATAACCCACTTGAAGTGTCTTTAAGTATCTGTGTTACCTTGGGAAATTCAGGAGTGTGTGTGGCTCCAGTGAGCACGTAAGAGGGAAGAAGGATGTGACGAGCTGCTGTAATCGCCTGCAGGACTGAAGTATTCACATCAGAATGAGCTGGATTGTGTAAAACTGAACTTTGCAAAATGGACAGAGGTGATACAAAACATCCACTCCAACACTCAGGGATTGATATAAGTACAACCAGCCTTTTGCATCATTCATGAAGGAAAAGTCCAAGCTTACCACACACACACACACACACACACACACACACACACACACACACACACACACACACACACACAAACACACTCTCAAACACACCTTGGCTGTACAATAACACCAAAAGGCTGCGTCCAGAACAGCAGAACAATCTGTTTTCCCCGCTGACTCAGACGGCAGTGAATACAAGCTAAAGCTCACAGGCTATACCACAATGTTACAGGTTTGGTAAACACTGGAAAAAACACAACATATCCAAAATAAATACATTTACTTATATCACATAATGCACAACATCAACTGAGTCACAAGTTCATGGGTACATCCAAACAAAACAAACCCAGTTAAAACAAAACAACCATTGAATAAACCTGCCGGCTTTAAAGAGGACATGTTATCCCCCTTCTCCACCTTTTCAAACAGTCCCCTCCTCCACCTTTTCAAACAGTCCCCTGTGGTCTAAATGAAACATCTGTGCTGTGCTTTGGTCAAAATATAACATGAATCAAGCACCAGAGGAGGTTTGTGACCCTGTATAAACCAGCTCTCTCAGAACGCTCCTTTTTGGTGTGTGTGTGTGTCTCTTTAAATGCAATGAGCCCCCCCCCCCCCCCCCTGGTTTTTTTTACCAGAATCCCACTGTGACATCACAAAGAGAGCACATTAAAAACAGAGCATTTTTCTTTGTGTTGTAAGACTTATGCCGACCACAAACAAAGGACTGGATGGGTTTATTTCACATTTTGTGGGTCAGTAGACACTCAGGTTACCCAAACATATGTTCAGAAACACTGTAGAAGTGGATTTTTAATAATATGTCCCCTTTAACGTTATAATGTACGGATTGGAAGCCCTAAGTGCATTTTATTTCTCTGTTTTCCTGTAATAACGGGTTCCTTTAGTGCCACAGATCTTCTCAAGTCTACGCTGCAGCTGTGAGACTGTCACTCTTAGTTTATGTTTAATGTCGAGCTTTCGTTTGTATTTTTTCTTTGTTGAGGTGACAGCAGAAAAAACAAAAAAGTCTCACAGGAAAGATGTGGAACAAGCAACGAGATGTGGCTCCTCATTGTTGTGAAGTCTGGTGTAGATTTATTGTCAGCCTTATGTTTACCTGAAAGTCTTTGCTGCCAGTGCTAAACCGTGTGCATCGATTGAATTTAGCATTGCTGCAACCCCCCCATGTCATAACCCCATGCCATTGGCTACATTTTGTGAATCACTGCATTATACTTAGTGAAGTTTCTAAAATTGTGCACCTCCCATTATTAAGAGTTGGTGTGTACAAACAAAAAAAACACTCAGTTTAAAGTAAAATATAATCAAAACCTCCCTATCTCAACACGGTTAATGTATGATTTATTGCAGAACTGTTGCATTATTTTAAACTGGTGTGCCTAATTAACTGGAAATTTAGTTCATAATGATTCAAAATTCTTAAAGCAGTCAACCTGAAGACTATAAATCATAAAGTACACAAGAATCAGCAAGAAAAACAGGCTCTGAAAACTCAGACAAATTAGAGAAGTTGGACCAAAAGAAACTCATTAATCCATAAATTAATGATTTAAGGTAAAGAAAATGTTGATATATTGAGGTGTGTTGACGTCAAACACAACATGTAAAGGACATAAGTTTCTGCTTTTTTGAAAGGTTTTGAGACAGCAGCTTTTATGTTTTCATAAAGTGAAAACAAAATTTTGAGAGAAGAACAGGTGGAGTCTATAAAAGCAGATCATAAAGTCATGTAATGTGATGTTTAGTGTGTGAAGCGCTGCAGCTGTGTGTTGAGTAAAGACAATGCCACAGCGCCCTCTGCAGGACACAACACAATAACAGCTGAGCTATGTACAGCATGTTGCTTTCACACAATGAATGGTGGATTTTTATTGTCTTTGAGGGGATTGAATAGTGCATCAGTATCATTTTGGATAATTAGTATTCTCCTGCTGTTTCTACACAAACAGGCCACATCACGAATGCTGTATTTATTCTTTCTGACTCGTCTGTCTTGCAGGTACCTGAAGCCCGACGAGAACAAAAAGTCAAAGCACAAGACGGCTGTGAAGAAGAAGACGCTCAATCCTGAGTTCAACGAGGTAAGATCCTTTTTCTTTTTGCATTTGAAATCTTGCAGGACCAGTTTTCTTTTTCTCTTCCTAGTTTTTCTTTTACCTCAGTATGCTGCTGATGAGCACTGAGCATAACCTGAGTAACCCCTGAAAACCTTTCAGAGAGGGCACGGCTTTCAGAGAAGCACCTTATTCTTAATTCAACACTGGCTGACTGCAGCAGCACAACGGAGGCTGCTGATGGAGGTGAAATATGTCAGGAAATGTCGACTACTTCAGGTGTCTTTTGTAAGATCAGAAATAAAACCTTTCAATGGGCTGACTGTCTGAAAACATTTCTAATCACTTATGACTCTCTCCATCGTCTTAAGGCCTTTCAGTGATCATCCTGTAAACAAGACGCATTGCTGTGTAGTTTTCCTTTAAAGTTTTGTGGCTGTGACTGTTTTCCATTTGAGTTACCTTGGATACTAGTCTGATTTTCTAACTTGAGCCGGCTCCATCCGGTGTGAAAGTTATACCCAGGGGTCCCTGGTAGCCTAGTGGCTAGTGCACATCTCTCATGTACGGAGGCTAGTCCTTGAAGCGGGAGGCCCTGGTTCAAATCCAACCGGTAGCTCCTTTCCCGCATGTCATTCACCTCCCTCTCTCACTCTCCCCGATATCTGACTCTATCCACTGTCCTGTCTCTCCAATAACGGCAATAAAAAAAAGCCCAAAAATAAACCTTAAAAAAAAAAACATTATCGAACACATCGAATAAACATTAAAGTCTTTATATGCGATTTTTTAAATATAATAGAAATCAAGTATATCCTCTGAAAATAACTCTGGAGTCATGACTGTCTACAATGGGTGTAACACCCGAGTCCCACTGTCTGTGATGTTTTCAGAGTTTTCAGAGTCCTATCTTCACTTTGTTTACATCGCCCGGACGGTCGGCTGACTCCTCCCCTTGTGTATAAAAGTCGTTTAATTGAGGGACTAGAGAAAAGAAGAATAACATACTGTACTCACTGCTTAACTGTGTTTCTAGATCACGCTCATTTCAGGTAAATTTACATGCAGTGTGAAGATACCAGCATGATAAAGATCGCTAGCATTAGCATGCTAACACAACAATGCAGCGCGAGTTGTTTTGGTTTCATGCTGGTGCTCAAGGGCGACATCTGCTGGATCAAAAAAATCACACATAAAGCCTTTAAGTCCAACTGGTGCACAGGGTGTCACTTTGTGTTGGTCATAAGTTACAGCTCTAAGTCGGACGTAATGATGAACAGTAAGAAATAATTGCTTTTAGACCAAACAGAGCTAAACAGAGAGTTAAGACTGAACTATTTATCAAGGGCCAAGAAACAAGACTCCTAATGGAAGCTTACCTTGATCTAAAGTGTAAATATTCAGCTGTTTGCCAACACTGTAAGTCAGCAAATTGTTGAGCTTGTGTTTACAAATGATGCTGCAGGCCTCCAAGTGGAAACATATAATTAAATGTATCATATACTAAATGGAGAAAGGGAACACAGCATATTGTGAGCTGTAATGGGTTTTTTCACACTGTTGATAAATTCACCATGAAGGAAACAAGACTCGTAATAAATCCGTTTTTGGATCAGCCTCACAGATTTCCTTCTGTATAACCAGAAGACTCATTAAACTGTCGAAATCAGAAATGCATTTCTAAAGACCCAGCATTATATTAGAGGAGGAAGCCAAACGTGTTCTCCTCAGTGCGTCACGCTGCACGGCGACCAGGCTCAGAAGTCTCCTCCTGCATACGAGTGGACACACTCAGGGCCAGCAGCTTGACATTTCCTCTGACATTTTTTGAATCTATATTCCTCCATCACCTCTTGACCTTTCTGTCAGAAGACAGTGCCCTCATACGGGCTCTTCCTCCGTACCGGGGCATCGATTTCATTAAGGTGGAGCAGGAGCCCTGATTGAACTGCAGATTGAAATGCAGAACGAACGCTCCTCCCTCACAGGGAGCAAATTGATATCAGAAAGAAATGCTTGTTTCATTTATTGGACAGTGGACTCTATTGATTATACTGTCATTCTTTTAAAGTAGCCCAGCATGTATTTTAAATGTAATTGGTCAGGGCTCCAATCAATAGTACTGACACTTGTTGTATCCTGAGTGTCCTGAGTTAATAAAAAAGGGAACCACATACATTAGATTTCCAACTGTAACCAAAAACAATAAACGTTTTGGTTCAGTTATGATGTTATTCTGCAAAACCAACACCATGCAGGGATGTTTTAATGTTGAGGTATTAAAGCAGCATGGAAAATCCAGTTCTGGAAATTTAAAGGTCACATACCCTCCTCCTCTTCTTCAGTCTAAATAAGTCTCAGAGCTCCCCAAAACGTGTGTGAAGTTTCTTGTTCTAAATCCACTATGATCCTGTATTTGATCATGTCTATAAACCCCTCTATTTCAGCCCTGCTCAGAACAGGCTGTTTCTGTGTCTGTACCTTTAAATATGTAAATGAGTTGTGTCTGACCACGCCCCCTCTCTGGAAGGGCTTGGGTGTACTCGGTCTTTGTCCTATTGTTTACGGTGAGAAGGCAGACTCAGAGGGCAGAACAAACACCTAGCTGTGGGAGTGTCACCCACCTGGGGGAGGGGTTACTGCCCTTTGTGATGTCATGAAGGGAAAATCTCCAAACGGCCTGTTTGAGCACACATTTTCTGAAAAGTGGAACAGGCAGAAGACGGAGAGGATGGACTTTTCTCATGTTTGGGTGGTTTGTAGACAGACTAGAGACACATGTTAGAGTTAGAGGAACATGGTGAAGTGTGTTTTGCATAATATGTGACTTTTAAGATTTTAAGACGTCATACTTTTTGTTGTTCTGGAAACATTGACATTTAAAAAACAGATTTTTCCTCCATTCTGTTTTCTGCAGGAGTTCTGTTACGACATTAAATATGCAGACCTCACCAAAAAGACACTGGAGGTAACCGTGTGGGACTACGATATCGGGAAGTCCAACGATTTCATAGGTAAGCACAACAGACTTTAAAAAACATGGACGTATCCTCAGTGACGTCACCCATTGTTTCCTAAAGAGGCTTTATGAATCTGAAAGATGGTCGCCATACTGGTAAGGCTAGAGTGAAAATGGTATAAGTTCAAAAGTAAAGGGCACAGATGGCCTAGCAGTGGGATCAGTTGTTTTCTTTTTCCTTTTTTTTCCTTTTAACTTCGTTTTTATTCATTTTTCTCATCAACAACAGTACAACATGAAAATGTTTTCTTTTTTTTTTCTTTTTCCAGCTGTATACTTACATTCGGATATTAAGCCAGCAGAAATAGATTACAAGAGTAAGATACAAACCAAAATGTCCACTCCAAAGAATATACATATACACAATAATACACATGAACAAACAAGTACATTATCAAATGTTCATAAAAGTAGAGGAGAAATGAAAATCATTAATAAAAGTTGTAATCATAAAGAAATAAATTCTAATCCACTCAAAGATATCATGTGTCAAAGTACAGGTGCGAAGTCAACCCCAGGGAAAAATGGTGCATGATCTTGGTCTGAGCACAAATTAAACAATGTTTTTTGTTTTTTTGACAGACTAGGGAAACACATTAGTGTTAGAGAAACAGGCTAAAGTGTATTTTGCATAATATGTGAAGTTTAAGGGCCTGTTAATAGCTGCTCTTAAATGACTAAAAGTTTCATGAAAAACAACTGAATGAATCTTGAAGGGGAGATTAATTTATCCAACTTCTTTGTGGATTTATGCACAATTCAGAAAAACATCTTTATGAAAGTCTCCTCAGAAAACTGCTGTCCATCCCATCTTCAATGTCACACCTGTCTCCAGCTGTTTAGTGCTGTTGCTAAGATACCGTAATGATCTGCTGTTATCCTTTGACTCTGTGATAATGCGAGACCTTGTAAAGCTCCTGCATGTTCAGCTCATGACTCATCCTCTCTGTTATGTGCCTCTCTTTCAGGCGGAGTATCTCTGGGTATCAATGCAAACGGAGAGCGGCTCAAACACTGGTTTGACTGCCTTAAAAACAAGGACAAGAAAATTGAGCGCTGGCACACGTTGACCAATGAATTACCTGGTTCACTAAATGACTGAAGACCCTCATTCTGTTAGCCCATCGCCCCCCCCTCTTTATGGCTGCACCAGATCGGACTCCTGCCTTTATTTCCTCAACCTCACGGCTAACTTCTTCCCCGGATTCTCGTCATGTCGGCCACAGCGACCTGCCCCCACCTCTTTGGGAAAATGCATTTCCTCTCAACAGGGCTCATTCTGAAATCTTATGTTCTTGTTCAACAACACTTCACATACACAATAGGGGGTTTGCACAGCTGCTAGAAATCGTATCAAAACAGATCACTGGGTTTTCTGTGTTGAATTTTCAGCTTCATAATTCAGTGAAGATTAAAGGAGCACTAAGTGTGTTTTTTTGATAAGACCTGTCACAGCATTTAAATTGTTTACCAATGATTCAACATTCCCTGAAAACAGCACAAAGAAAGCCTCCATGCTGTCATCTCGGTGGTTAAAGTCTAAGGAATGTAACAAAGGATGTAGCAGATTATGCAGAAATGTTTAGCAGAATAGATCTCATCTTTCACGTTCAGCCTGACGATGCTAACATTTAGCGTCACAGAGGAGCAGCGGGATAAAGACATCGTCGACTTACTCTTTACGTTCGATTACTGCCGAGGTTGCACTTTAACATGATTGTAAAAATGTTCAGTAGTGAAGGTCCTGTTGTTGTTCAGCCGCTATGTAAGAGGCTCCTTAGACAACGCACCGACTACGAGCAAGTTTGTTGAAGAAATCTCTCTCCTTTAGTTCGAGTCTTTTGAGTTCTGATGAGCGCTACGCGATGGAAAAACCGAGCTTCTATCAAACTCTGCACGAGTGAAGGCCTCAGTATGCTTCAAATGACATCGACATGCGTCATCGCTCCACTCTCTCTCTCTCAGTTTAGATTTCCCAGACTTTTACCTCCTTCGTTCACACATCGGCTAAACCCGACTTTTCACAGACGTGTTGCTAAGAGGCTGACAGGAAACAGCCAGCTGAAAGTAAGTCGGATTGCACCTCGACCTGGACAACGTCAGGAAGTTATTTCAAGGGGTTTTGACCATGTGTGAATGGGCTTATGAGACTTAAAGGGGGCTAGATTAAAGCTTCATGTATTTTACTTCCTGAGATTTGAATACTGTGGCACCTCAAACAAAATGAACACACAATTAAGATCTACAACCCCATATCCTAAAACGTTAGGACACTGTGTGAAATGTAAAAAATAACAGAATGTGATGATTTGTCAAACACCGAAACCCAATATTTGATTCAAAGCCACAAATGCCACATGTTGAAACTGACAAATTTGATTGATTTTGGAAAATGATATGTTCAATTAGCTCATGGACTCCGATCATGGACCATTGCCAAATAGGAAAAAGGCGTCTTAGACACTGTTAGACCATGTTTGAAGTATACTGAGGTCACAGAAAACTTTACTATTGTCAGAGCGACCATTACCGCACCAACTACACATTAAAACGCCTAAATGTACGACTGCACAGGTAAAAGGAGACACATGTTGGCAGGTGAAGTCACAGATTGATTTTCAGAGGATTCTAGTAAAAGTGATGCTCATTTATAAAACAGCAGGATGACGGGTTAACAAATGTCTGCATTATAACCTAACTGATTTAAAATCCAATCAAATAAGTAACTTTTTCCAAATCTCCCACTCAAAGCAAATCTTCTTGTAGTAACACACAAAACTTCAGTCAAAACAACGATGCAATTCCAGATGTGATCGCACCACCTTCTTCAACTCCTCATTGATTTTTTCGGTGCAACTCCTGATCCAAAGAGCTGCCTCGTTTTGAGGTGATCTTCTGTCAAGGCTCTGCAAATGTTTCATCCACTCAGTCACCTTTTTGTGGAGGTTTCTTATTTACAGATTAAAAGCATGATGGAGGATCATATCAGATACAAATTTGGAGAGGAGTCGTGGGTTACAAGGCCACTAGGCTGTTCGTCAGTGGTCGATATTTTTAGAGAAAATGCTTCAAATAAAGAATCAGACTCAAAGAATCAGACAGAATCCAATTTAAATTCTGTCTGCAGGATGTCGGCTTGTTGAACAGGTCCTGTAGGAGCATCATTATGTAGAATCTGTTATTAGTCGGGTGGCTGAGGAGGGGTTATGGATGTTAAATTAAAACTCATATGCATCAGCTGATCTGAGGATAATGTCAGCACAGAGGTGGAAACAGTCACCGTCACAGTACACTGCCATCGCACACAAAAAAGGGGGAAGCTGAAGAGCTCCTTCACAGAGAGCCGCTGAAATCAACAACAGAATGAAGTCCAGTGGAAAACCACTCCAACTTCACATACCACAATGCCACATGATTGGGCAGCTCGACGGTTGTGTGTGTGTGTGTGTGTGTGTGTGTGTGTGTGTTTGTGCGAGAGTGTGTGTGAGAGAGTGTGTGTGTGTGTGTGTGTGTGTGCACGCAGCTTATTGTTTACACTACAGGAAAATGAGTCTCCACTAAAACAAACTCGCTGACTTGCATTTTCAACGGGATGAAAATGTGCCTGCTGTTCGTCAAATTAAAAAAAAAAGGGCCGATATTCAAACAGAAAGTTTACGTCAAATATAAAAATTTAAAAAAAGAATACAAAACAAGCGAGCATGTATTGTTTACACACAGCCTACTCTTCTTAATGTGCTGCTGAAGAAGAAGTCAGCGCGATTTGTTCGGGTCGTGCGATGCAAAGCTTTTGCCAAGGCTGAGAAGGGCAGAATTTTTAATATACTAGCCGTGTACGTATATCGTTGTTGAATCTGTCGGGGTTATTTTTTTTATTTTATTTTTTTTAATGTGAGCAGCTCCACTATAAATGTAATCGAACAGAATGTACATGTTTAACCCCTTCTATTCCACAGTAAAACCCTCTACGAATGTGCAGCTTCGTGCTCTGTGTTGTTGATATTGTTCATAAATGAAGTGCTCTGTATTTGGGCGCACATATCCTGGGAATAGAGATGGTTGAACTCGCAGCCTTTTGGAGCAAAACTTGTAAAAGGGCCGATGTCATTCAAGTCATGTACTAAGAAGTTTTACTTTCTAACCTGTGAATTATTTATCTTTTTCTTTTTAATTCAATATTTTATGTTATAGTTTGATACCCATGAGACCCTTTTTTGCAGAACTCTCCCGGACTGAATCTATACCGACTTGAGTTGCCCTCATGGCTCAGTATGCTGGGATGCATGCCATGTATTGTGATTTTATGAGTTTGATCCTGCAGTATGACCTTCTCTGCATGCCCCCCCCCCCCCCCGCATCTCCTGTAAAACCTCCCACAAAAAAAAAACGCCCTCACGTAATGTTTGGATTCCTGCAGGCTCTTGAAGCTTTTCTGTCATCACCCTCATGTCCCCTGCGCGTGATAGGCCGGGCATGTTTAATAATTAGGAGCATGCCTGTTCTATAAGTGTGCAGGACAATCGCTTTTCCTCACTAAAATCTGCTTTTTGAACGTAAAAAAAAAACAGCCCAAAGCATTTAATAGTTTTATTATTTAACCTCCTTGACCTTTAGTTTAATTGTTGAGATAATGTTATGTCATTGCTTTCATGCTACATCCCTTTTTTTGTTGTTTCCACCAATGCTACCACGTCTTCAAAGCTGGAGAATGAAAATGTTTAACGCATCACATCAGGCCTCGCATCTCCCCCTTTACTTCCCTCTTCAGCTGCATTGATTTTGTGTGACGCAAAACCGGCTGTGAAACCTTGTTGGCATCTCAATATTTCTCCCCCCCTGACGCAACAGTGATCCCTCTATCGCTCTGATGAATATGTAATGAATACGACCGACAACGTGGTTTTTGATTTTGTAATCTGTCTGCCTTTGTATGCAAGCTCAGTATACCTAAAAAAACAAACAAACAAAAGTGCATGCATATGTTCTTGGTTTTGTCATGAGATGACTTTGCCTAATGTTTGATACTGTTTTTCTGTATGAAAAAAAAAAAAGACAAACTACACGACTGTGGATGCTCTACGATTATGCTATGAGTCAGTCTTTCTTCTGGACAACATTTTGTACCTTTGAACACTATCGCATTGCCTGTTTGGCTGCTGTATTGATTATCTGGAAGCGTGACTTGATGTGAATTAAAATCTCTCCTTTGTTGTTTTTGGTTCCTTTTTTAACACTCAGGCACTTTTTGTGTTGATTCTTCTGGTTTGTCGACTGTCTAAATGTAGATGCTTTGTCTCAAATTATATTTTAGTCGTCAAGTGGACAGGTTCAGTGTGCTTTTCCTTGTTTCTATTTTATGTTTTTTGCATGCAATTTATTATTGGGTAAAAGAAAAAGACAGTTTACTTACTTTGCATTTGAAAGTTTTAGAATTTCAAACATACAAATAGATCTAACGGTGTTTAAGAAATATTGCAATCCATCCAATTTCCTCATTTTCTAGCTCCTACCGGGGGATTCTGAGGCGTTCCCAGGCCAGACGGGATACATAATCCCTCCAGCGAGCTCTGGGACTACCCCGGGTCTCCTCCCAGTTGGGCGTGCTCAGAAAACCTCCAAAGGGAGGCGTCCAGATCAGATGCCCAAACCACCTCAACTGACTTCTGTCGATTCAAAGGAGTAGCGGCTTCAGAGCCACAGAAGCATAACACACACAAAAAACACAACCTGAATTTCCCCTCTACTCAAACACATAATCACATGTGACAGATGTGCAACATGTGAATCAAAGTCTGAACATTAGAAACGCGGTTTATGAAGTTTTATGCAGTTATATGATATATGCATATGTGAATCCTGCACAACTTTATATCTACACTATACCCTAGCACGGCTAATTTAATTTTAAGAACATTTTATATGCCAAGTAGAAGGAATCTCTTGCACCCCTCAATAGATGGAGGTCGGTGCTCTCAGAGAAGGATCTTTAGACGTACAGGATAATTAACTGGACTCCTCCACACAGGTAGAATCCAAAGAAAGGATTGGATCACATAAATCACTGAAGGTAATTTGTTAAGGTGCTAAGGACTTAACGTTTCCACACGCACTGCATCTTCCTCAGAGTCAAGAATTGGTTTGACTCTGAGGAAGATGAAGTTCACATCAGAACGTTGAGTCCTTTGCACCTTGAGCACGCAACAGACAATGACGCATGCAGTGGAAACATAAGCCTCGACTAGAGAGGGCGCACAGATCCCAAGGAACCCTGGCTGTAACCTCCTGTCAGGATGAAGAGCGGTTTCTCAATAAAGGGGCCGAGGTGACCGGCTGTGGATAATAATACACCCCTACTGCAAGAATTGAATGACATGTATTGATGCATTTCTGCTTAGGACTTCTGTAGATTATTTCTAAAACGTTACACAATACATGACTAATATTAAAATGATAAACCTCCCTATAGGGGCTGAACAGTGATGCAGTGTTAGACTGCAGGTTTCTTCAGGTTTCTCTCGATGATAAACTATAAGGCTGCACAGCTCTGATTCACATGCTGGGAACAAAGCCAATCCATTTGTCTGTGTGACTGCCTATTTCTCCGAGCCCTCACCCCTTAATGCAACCCATTATAGCACAAGAGTGCATTTCTGTCAGCGACATCAGCAACTGTAATAGCCTCCGACAGCCTTTCCTCTGATGATCGGTAACACAGCTTTGCAATTATCCACCTCCCCTTTAAGATTAATGTCAACAGGAGGGAGTGACAACCAATCAGGAACTCCTCAACTTAATATAATGTTTTTGGAGTTTGATACTATAAATACGTCTGAATATGAAAACAGCTAGACTTGAAATAAAGCTAACAAAGAAAGCTTCGGAAATTTGCAGATTGTTGTTGTTGCTGTCTCTTTTGCTCTCTGCGGGGATTTTGTTTTTCCTGCATTCAACCAATGGCCACTAAGACACGACTGATAATTAGCACTTAGGCTACTGAAGGAAACAAGAAAACTTCTGATACCAAAATATTTTCCCCTCAACTTCACATCCTGCTGCCGTCTTTCATACCAAACAAGCTTAAAAGAAACTTGAAACCGATGGCAATAACATAAAGATTCAGTCGTGGTTACGAGGTGAATTTGTTTAATTTCAGGTAAAAAAATGTCTGATCACCTGATAAGTCTGCATAAAGGTCTCATTTCAAGAAAGAAAAAGCTAGAAATGAGCCCTGGATTTCTGGTAATGAGTGAAAATAGCTTCAATTGCAGCATGCAAAATGTACTTAAGTTTCTTAAAATGAGATCTTTAACTCAATTAAAGCACTTCAGGATTTTTTTTTCCTGAAGCGTGGGAGGAAGCAGACCTCCCCTGAGTGGAGAGTGAATATTAGAGTTAAATTCATTAAGCAGCCAGTAGCACGGCTCCCAATGATGGATAATGTCCTGCTGAATGTTTCATTCATAATTTGTAATTTGTAATTTGTTTGGAAACCTTTGGCAACAAAACAATTAATCCAGATTTTATAAACAAAACACTTCCTCATTTATTAACACAATCAACTTGTTGTTGTTGTTGTTGTTAATGATGATGATGGCAGCAGACTTTAGGAGGAGGGAGATGAGATTAGTTTGATAGCACTCTGATCGTAGACATGCTCTTTTTTCACACTGGATACTTATTTTTCATTTGTAAAAATGTAAAAATTTGTTTCATATTTACATATTTTTATTGTCTTGTTTTCAGGTGTAAAATGTCACACATCCTTCCTTTTAAAAGGGACATATTATCCCCCCTTCTCCACCTTTTCAAACAGTCCCCTGTGGTCTAAAATATAACAAGAATCAAGCACCAGAGGAGGTTTGTGACCCTGTATAAACCAGCTCTCTCAGAACGCTCCGTTTTGGTGTGTGTGTCTCTTTAAATGTAATGACCCCCAGGAGACATCACTCCTCTGTAGAGAGAATAAAAATGGCAGACCTGCACAAAAGTTTAGCTCTAGGCTGGGGGTGGAGTCCATGGGTGGAGATACCAGGGGAGGGGAGGGGATTTTTTTTTACCAGAATCCCACTGTGACATCACAAGGAGAGCACATTTGAAACAGAGCATTTTTTCCCAGAAAAAGAAAAAGGTTAGGAAAGCAAAGTCCTTTGATTTACAGAAAGAATTTGAATGCCTTAATATGAAAAAGTCAATGTGACAGCTCTTGTTGGATCTTGAAGGCGTTGTTTGTGGACTTACTGAAAACTTAACCACGTCTTATTGTCTCTTTTCCAAACACACAGATTGTTTAATAGCTGCAGCTGATTCTTATATAACCAGAGGGGTTTAGGTAACATGCTTTGGGTCTTTTTTCTGTTCTTGAGGTAGTACAAAGTCTACTCATCTGTACAGATCTGTGTTTTTGCTCTCAGGTCTCGGCTGTGTGCTCTGGTTGGACGGAGGTTCTTCTAAGGCGTGAGCTGAGCC